TTCTTTTTTTTTTTTTTTTTTTTTTTAAGTTTGAAACTCATTAGTCTACTGCATTTCCCAGCTAGAGTCCAATTTGTGATCCTCCTGCCTCAGCCTCCCAGAGGGCTGAGATTACCAAAACCCTCAATGTATTGGGGGATAGGGCCTATTAGTAGTTAAGGCTAAGTAAGATCATAAAGGTGGGGTTCTGGTGTGATAGGACTAGAGTCTTTTATTCTTTCTTTAATGTTCAGTACTGGGGTTGAACCCAGAGCCTCCCTTCAATGGAGCTACATCCTCAGCCCTTAAAATTTGTTTTTTAAAATTTTCATGCAGGATCTTGTTAAGTTGCTGAATTGCCGAGGCTGGGCTCATGATCTTTCTGCTTCAGCCTCCTGGAAGAGTTAGCCTTTATAAGAGATACCATGCCTTCTGCCTCCCTGCTTCCCTCCTTTCCTTCCCCCATTGCCAGGTGAAGATACATCTAGGAAGAATCCTCACTGGAAAAAAATCTGTTCTTGGACAACCAGCCTCCAGAACTGTGAGAAAGTAAGCTGCGTATGGTGGCATATACCTATAATCTTAGCACTCTGAGACCCCATCTCAAAATGTAAAATAAAGGGCCGGGGATTTAGGATTTAGCTCAGTGGCACTGTGCTGGCCTTGCAAGCGCAAGGTCCTGAGTTTGATCTCCGCTATCAAAAGGTGTAGGGGGCTGGGGATGTAGCTCAGTATGCCGGTGTGAAATCCCCAGATTGATAAAAAACAAAACAAACAACTGTGAGAAAGTAAATTTCTGTTATTTAAGCGTCCCAGGCTATGACATTTTATTATAGCAGCCCAAGAAGACTAACCTAGGTGCTCTAAAGACTAGCAGTGGATCTGGGCTCCATTTTCTCACTGATGAAATCAGAGATCTCTCAAGTACTATGGAGGCTGGGAGTCTAGCTCAGTGGTAGAGCACTTGCTATGGATTTCATCCCCAGAACCACAAAGAAAAGGGCAGAGGCCAGCATGTAACTCAGTGATAGAGCTTGCAAAATGCTCTGGATTCAAACCCATTACCACCACCAATAAATAAATATACAGATAAATAGATATAAAAATAAAGTCTCTAGCTTTAAAAGTCAACATATCCATATATCTGTGAATATTTACCAATACATATTTGTTTGTTGCTAAACTTTATCCTGAGCCACCTTTAATATAGGGGTGGGCTTTTATGGTTGCAGATAAAAGACAGAGCACCTAGTTGAATTTCAGATGAACAATGAACTCTTTTTTAGTACTATACTTATATCCCATGCAATATGTGGGAAAAATATTTGGGACATTTGTTAAATTCTAGCTATTTCACCTCTATTCTCCAAATCTGCAACCTTGTAAAGGGACAGATCTGGACTTGACTTATCTCTGGATTCCCTTACAATAGTGTGAGCCATACTTTTTTTTTCCTCATTGAGTTTATTGGTACATTTTAGGGATACAGTACAGTTACATTTATTATTGGGATCTTGTACCTTTACATGACAGGTCTTGGCTCTCATTTTTTCCCCTTGTCCCTGCCCTCCCTTCACCCCTTCCTCCCATATTTTGGATTTATAGACTGAACATTATCTCTTTTAATTTATTTTTACATTTCATTAGTACATGTTTGCAGTTCATAATGCTTACATTCATTATGGAGAGTTCGTATGTGTAACTAACACATCTTCATTCTTTTTACTCCCTCCCACTCCCTCCACCTCAGGAAAAAACAGCCTTTTATTTTGCCAAATAATGTACTTATCACTACTTCACTAAAGAAAAGTCAGTTAAGGCTGAGATTTAGCTCAGTGGTGCACTCCTGCCTGGCAAGGGTAAGGTCCTGAGTTTGATTTCTGGTACCAGAAGGAAAACAACCAGCTAAATATTCAAAATTATAAAGTACACTCTAAGGTTTTTATACTTAATAATAAAATTCAGGAGAGGAGAAGAAGGGAAGTAAAAGATTTAAGATGTGTTATGTACACATACCCATTTTGCCAAGAGGGAGTGTAATCATTCTACACTGCTAACGTGCACTAATAAAAATTAAAAAGAAAAAAGAAGAAGCAGAAGAAACCAATTTCTGGGAAAATTAACAGAATAATCAGACGGCATCTCAATTGGTAAGTGGTTGATTCACTTTCATTCCTAACTCCGTTGAGAGTAAAAGACAAAAGCTTTCACACTAGGTAGGTGGAAAGAAGAAAGAAAGGAAATGAAGCAATGTCTAAGAAAGCAGATGGTAAAACTCACTTTCATGAAGAAAGTCTGCCTGTTAAGGTGAAAGCAATAAAAAAGGCACAATCTGAAAAAATATTAGCTTTGTGAAATATTCATCACATTGTCCTTTTGGCATTTGTTTCTACGGCAACCAGGTAAAGCTTCAAACCAGTTTAATACCATTCAGCTGACTGGTGTTTGTGAACTCTGTGCTGTTCACTTGATATTTATCCTTTTTTTTTTTTGGTACTGGGAATTGAACTCAGGGCCTTGCGCTTGCCAGGCAGGTGCCACTGAGCTATATTCCTGGCCCTGGTTGTGCTGGTCACTTGAAGGGTTTGTACAACTTCTTGATTTTTTTTGGCTTTAGCTGCTAGGGAGCTCAGAGTTAAACTGGAAGTCAACTGCTATAACTATCTTATCCTCCATTTTCATTTCTTGACTCCTGTGCTTTCCTCTAGGCCTTTAGATATTTTTAATGAAGGAATTTTCATTATAAGTTGCCTGAAGTACTTCTGAAATATAGAATATCTTAAAAGCTTTGCATACAGTGAGACCTCAATAGATGATGCAGTTGAAAAGGAGAAGATGTGAATATTGAATGGGGCCTGATTAGTTTACTTGCTGAGGATGATTTTTAAATACTGCATTATTATTTTAATTCTCTATTCTTAGCATTTTAGAATGTTAGAACTAGGAATGCAATCACATCTTTGGTCCAATTCCAGAATTACCAAATAGGGCTTCTAAGGGTGAGATCCAAGAATTTATAGGCATCCTAGCCTCCAAGATTAGGAGTCACTGATCCATACAATCTCTTAACATGTATCAAAACATATGATATTTTATAAGCAAAACAGCTGAGACCCCAGAGAGAGAGAAAAGACTGTCATATAAATGGACGACAGGCACTGGGGAAGGGTGCTGCACCCAGCTTTCTTAGCAAATTGGCTGACTGTTGGGGACAGAAGGAGAAGGGGCAGGGGCAGGTGTCCATTAATTAGTTTCTATTCATACTACTGTATATAGCAGGAAATGGGTGCTGAGTGTAGAGACGTGAAAGAGCTAAGATTTAGCTTGAATAAGAGCAACATCCCTCTTGCATCTGTGCTGGGATTTCACAGTTCACTAAGCATTTCCCCAGTATTATTTCAGCTCAACTCCAAAGATAAGGAGATTTGACAAGGTGGTATTGTTTTCTCTCTCTCCAATTAAGAAGTGAAGGCAAATTCACTGTGTTTGCAGGCCCAGTAAAAGGGGTAGAGTTCAGGTTTGAATGCTTTCTACCACTCAGCCTCACTTAAATCCCATAGGCTAATCAATGCCTTTGCCATTTTAAATAAATGATTATTTCAAGGAGTGCAAGTTCTATATGATTATTATAAGAAAATTCAAGTAACTTGGAAAATATAGCTTAACAGATTAAATGTCCACCTCACTCTCACAGTTTGGAGAGCTTTTGAGTTTCCTTTTCAGACATTTTTTCTATGTTTGTATGCATCTACAGGGAAGATTGCTTTTCTTTATCTTGTTTTTGATGGATCAAACTATACACGTTGCTGTGCTTTCTTTTTATTAATATATTTAGGCCATTTTTGCAAATCTTTAAGTAGAGCTCTACCTCTGTTTTAAAATGAGCCATGATTGAAAACAGCATCATAGCAGTTGTTGTGGGTACACTGATAGAGGAGTATTTACCACTGATGTGGTAATAACAGAGGGTGTTGGTGCTCAGAAATGGGGTGTAAATTAATCCTGAAAGTGTTCAATAAGAGCAGAGCCCTTGGAATCAGAATCATAAACTAGTTTAATGAGGCCTTGAGAAAGATATGGAAATACCCATTTTCCCATATGTAAATGGGGCTACAAACAATCTGTATTCCATAGTTGTAGCAAGAATTAAACAAGATAATTTATATTAACTTTCAGCACACTGACTGATGACAATGATGACAGTGACAATGATAATGATGCCTATTCTTCTAAGGTCCAGGAAGGTGGGGAGTGGGGCTTAAAGTGCACTAGGAATGAATGCCCTTTTCAGTGCTACCAAATCAGCCTGGGTATCTGGACTATCTTCTGGAGACAGGTGTGACAGCGAAACTCCAGTTTTGGAAACAACCCTCCAGGCTTACAAGTGTTTGAGCTTGGCCTTTGGGGAAACCGAAAACAACAATTCCCAGGGTGCACCACTTCCACAACCACCCCCGTCCCTTGTCGGGCCCTCTCCCGGCTCAAACTACAAGGCCCAGAAGGCCATGCGGCACACAGCTCGTCACTCCCACTATTTGAAGCCGAATTTACCCGCTGGGAAGTGTAGTTCGGCAGTGATCAAGCTTCCTGGCCTTGCCGCTGGAATAAGGCGGGCCAGCCGGCGGTGCTTGAATTCCAGCTCTTTTAACCGTCTATTTAGAAGAGGAAACTGCCTCCGCAGAGTCGTGCAGACATGCCTGTGATCGAGGTCTGCTGAGAAGGGAGCTAGCGTACTAGACCTCAGAGAGTGGGAAGGGGGACCGAGAAGAAGGCGGCTGCGGCGGACGAGACCAAATGCTACGGAGGAGGGAGAGGAGACAAGGGTAAGGGAGAATCCAAATGGAAATAGTAGGGGCGGAGCGGGTCACGGCGCCTTTACCAGGAAAGTGGGGTGAGGTGTGCCCCGGAAGTGGAGTAGTGTGAGGTCCCAGCAAATAGAGGCAGAGAGTCGTCGTTCTGGTGGGACGGCTTGAGGGTTTGGGGCTGATTAGTGGGACTTCGTTCACCCGGCCTTGGACTTGGGGAACCATGGTTGGAAAGTTAGGCAGCAGTGTGTTACTCAGGAAGACTGAGAGCTGCTGTGCACCGGTGCAAAGCCTTTTTCTCTGTCTCCTTCCTCACTGTTGGTGGTTGGAGGTGTAACGTTTCGAGGGAAGATAGTTTGGGACGCTCTGTTCAAAGGGAACCCCAGCAAGGAAGAAAATCTGAACCTTGCACATCCCTCAGAGGCCCAACAATGCTAGTGAAATAAGCCCTATGTTACCATTTTAGGCATTACAGGACATGACTTTGGGTGGAGGTTTATTCTGACTCTTAATATAAAAGTGTCCTAGCTCATAAAATGTCTGGGATAAATTAATTGAAAAATCCAAGTGTAAAATATAAAGTAAGAATGATCCTACTTTGTAATAAATACTTCTATCTCCGAAATATGTGATAGAAAAAAAATTGGAACTGTGTCGTTACTGAATTAACAGTGGCTATTTATGGCTGATGAGAATTTTGTCCTTTTCGGCATTACACTTTTATGTAGCGTCTGGATTTTGTGAAATAAGCATTATTTTGTTTTCTTTCTTAGTCTTCCAGAAGAGCCACTTGGCTATAGTATTTTGGGAGTCAGGCACCAAGGCCAGCTGTTCTGGCTTGCATTGGGCCGTATGCAAATCAGTTTTCCAAGAAGTTAAGAGTGCTGAATGTAAGGGGGGAATTTAGTGCATGTTCTATATGAAGCTAATGCTTGCTTTCTACTTCTAAGTTGGACAGAGGCAGTTTTAGCAAGTGTCACACCATGGTATGTGGTTTTTTAAAAATCTATTTCCATCTAATCCATTATTCTTTTTGATTTAAAATGTCACCTTTCTGATGGACTTAGGTTGCACTGCAGAACTGTTGGGATCTGAGAATTTACCTTGGCTGGGGATGGGAAGGAGAAAAACATTGCAGCTGAAATACCTTTTTAGCTTTGGGTTTGCTTTTTCATTATTATTTACTGGATCATTATTTTCTGTATGTTACCTGCTATCCCTGGTGTGCACTTTTTTAAATTATAAAAGAAACATTAATTTATCCTTTACATGTGCTCCTTTATGCATTTCCTGGGACAAAAGCTTATTAAAAGCAAGGAAGGAGCATGGTAAATTTAATGTTTATTTCAGTCTTTTTTCTTTACAGATTTTGCCAGCTTTCCAGTTAAAGGGTGACATTTCTGCATAAGCATTTCCCTATTAAAATGTCCTTGCCCCTTACAGAGGAGCAGAAGAAAAAGATTGAAGAGAATCGACAAAAGGCTCTTGCCCGCAGAGCAGGAAAGCTATTAACAGAACAACCTCAGAGCACAGACTCTGTTTCCTCCATTGCTGCCAGCCCTTCCCAGTCCAAGCAAAGTCCTTCCCAAAGTTTCCCTAGGGAACCTTCTAAGCCAGAGAAACATGATGCTTTTTTCAAGCAACAGAATCTCGGTAATTCATTTTGTGGTGACCAAAGACCACATAATTCCCATCATTTTCAGCTCAGCACACCAGAACAGGTAAAGGGGATATGGAAGAGCCAAGAGATACCCACAGCCTGCCCAAACCAGGGCCTCCCGAGTCAGATGACTCTTACTGGGCTCTCTCCACCATTGCCACAGGGTCCTCCAAGTGTCTCTAATCAGCAGCTCTTTGGCTGTAAGATCAGTCAGGGTCATCCTCAGGCTTCACATCAGACCGAATCAACATCGGATGCTAACACAATGCATGAGCTTTTGGCCAAAGCAAAGACTTCCCAGGAGACACCAGCTTCTTCCTCTAGCCAGCCCACTGGTGATCTGGAATTAGAAGCCAGGACTGCAAAACCTTCCACCTCAGGGCAGAGCTCTTCTGACATCCATGAAGGAAGACTGCAAGAGAAGTTGGAGACCTCACCCCAGAAAGCAGTGAGCTCCCAAAAGGGGCTATGTATAAGGGAGGGAGATCGATTCTCAGTGAAGATTGGCTACAATGTGGAGCTCCTTGCTGTGTTTAAGACTCTGCCCAGTAGAATTTATGGTAATGAGGCTTTTATTCTGCAGATGTTTTTTTCTATTTTTAGAGTCTTTTCTAATCTAACAGTTTCTCATAAATATTAAGAGAGTACATTGGCACATTCTGTCCATCTAGTTCTTAACATTTTTTCTATTTTAGCCAATGTTTCCTTTTATAATAGACATTGTCTCTAACAGCTGCCAAATTTAGGAGCTGTTCTCTCTTGGCCAGAGAGAAAACAGCTGAGTATTTACTGGAAAGCCAGATCTTCAGCTAGGTGTTTTAGATAATTGTAGCATGTAAGCCTAAAAACATTTTTTCAAAATATGTAGATTTTTTTTTTTTTTCTAGTTTCAGTGAGGAAACTGGCTCAGCAGTAAGGTTAAGTAACAGGCCCAGGGTGATTGGTCTGGAGGAGAGAGCCAGGATATGACCAGCTCTGTCGCAGCCCAGCCCCTGCTCCTCATTTCACAGTGCCCGACTTTACCAGGATTCAGGGAACTAGGATTCTAGTCCTAATTCTGCCCTTGGCCCTGTTAGGAAAGGTCCATAGTTTCCTAGGCGCTCCATTGAATTTTACTATAAGAACCAAAATAATTATGTACATTTGCTATTTGTCTTCTTCAGAGATTTTTGAAAATGAGTAGGGACTTGCTGATCCGTTATTTTGAATTTGGCATTTTCAGAAAAAAAGCTTTTATTGAATGCTCGAGTACAAATTAAAACAACAGACATCAGTGTTGTCTTATTTCAGATCCTACCACCAAAACATGGAACTTCAGCATGACGGACTACCGTGCCCTGTGTAAGTAGTCACATTGTTACCACCATGGAAGGAGCTGTGGGTACTGAAGTTTCCTCAGGGTACAGGAGGATGTGACCTAGGGTGTGATGTGTGTGTCTCTTGTGTCCTCACGGATGGTGAGAACTTCCAGAGCACTGTCCCTGTGCACTGTCACTGTTCCCTAGCCCAGTGAGGTAGCTCTTTTGGTGAAAATCATTGTTAATGTTAACAAGAGTTAGCACTGAATGGTTTCTGTCTGCTAGGCGATTCCAAGCCTCTCAGTTATGCTAATTCTCTTATTCCTTGTGACAGCCATTTTACAGATGAGGAAACTGAGCCAATGAGAGGCTGAATAAGTAATACAGATCTCAGCCCACAAGTTATACAACTGGGACTCAAAACCACAAAGTACATGTTTCCTCTAGACTGTTAACTCCAGCAGGGTTAGGCAGCTGCGTCAGTCCCTGCTCCTGGGAAGATGCCAGTCAAGCAAACAGTACCATTCCCCACAGGTCTCTGCATGGCCAGTGCACTCGAGAGCACAGGGACGGGTTGCCAGACAGGTACCAGCCTCTGGTGTGTCTGGTTGTTATCAGCTCCTGGTGGCACCACTCTTTTCTGAGATTTTGTGGACTGGTTCTGTACCAGTGGTTTCATCAAGGTGCTTAGATCCACATCTGTCAAAGAGACAGCCCTGAATTTTCCCATCTCCCTTGTAACCCATCCCTGCCAGTGACCATCCTGTGCCCACTGTTCCCTGCCCAGGTTATGAGGGGAAATGCTATGCATGCTTAGATCCCGACTCTATAGACTTGGGGTGTGAGGTAGAATTCTCAGGGCTTACCAGTCCAGTTTCTGAGAGGTGGTGCGGCAGCTTCTATAGACTTCCTGGTTCTCACTCCTGTCCCTTCACCCTGTCCTAGGTTTTAAACCCAAGAGCACTACCACTGAGCTGCATCCCCATCCCTTTTATTTTCCCCAGTGCTAGGGATTGAGCCTGGAGGTGAGCTACATCCATAGCAGCTCCTCCTCTTCCTCCTCTTATACTCCTCTTTTATTTTTAGATTGGGTCTTTCTCGGCCTCCTTCAGTGCTAGAATTACAGGCATGAGCCATTATGTGTAGCTGTGCTTCTTCAAATGTGTAGCAGTATGTGTTGTCCCATTCTTTGGTAGCTGCTGGTGCCTTAGTTCTAAGGCTGCTATGACACAGACTGGATGTATGAACAACAGAAATGTATTTCTTCGCAATCATGGAGGAAAGCTGAGATTAAGGTGCTGGTGGGGTTGATTTCTTCAAAGACTTCTGTCTTTGACTTGGAGCTGGCTGCCTTCTATGCCCTCCCAGGGCCTCCTCTGTGTGTGAAAATCCCTTGTTTCTCCCTCTCTCATAAAGTTGTCAGTCATTTTGGAATCAGGATCCACCCTAATGATCTCATTAACTGTATTTATTTTTATTTATTTATTTATTTTGGTTTTTTGAGACAGAGCCTTGCTGTATAGTGCAGGCTGGCCTGGAGCTCTATCCCTGCCTCATCTTCCTGAGTGCTGGGATTTCAGCCATATGCCACAATACCTAGCTATCTCATTAACTTTGAAGGTTGTGTGTCACAGCGACATTGTGACGTACAGAGCTTTAGGAATCTTTGAAAGGACGTAATTCAGCCCATGATATTGCTGCTTTTTGGAAGTGTCATTTTTTTTTAATCCACTTTTTTCTGTGTTGGAAGGAGGAGACCCAGTGCTATAGGGTACACGTGTGGGTTTTGACCTGATATTCTCAGTGTTGCTAATTTTAGATTAGTGTTTTTTGCTGTTATTTTATTTTGTCATTTTTTTGGTTTTGTTTTGTTTTTTCACTCCTGTTCTCTGATCATGGTGTTTGGTGACTTAGATGTCTTCTCCTTTTGGAAATTCATTTAGGTTTTCTGTGTGGTAGGGTTGCTTTTTGTAGGGCTCCACATTTAAAAATAGTTTACCAGACACAAAATTCTCCATGTAGCTGTTAGATGAAGTTTACTGTTAAAGTGTTTGGCGCCTCTGTAAACCTTGAAGTCTCCTGCAGCAAGTTTGGATTTGTGGAATTGTCCTTATATTTGCAAGTTTCACATAGGCTAATGATTATTGTGTCTTTATTTAGATGATACTTTTTTCAGTACTAGGAATGAAATCCAAGGCTGGACAAGTGCTGTACCCCCGAGCTATATATACAGCCTCAGCCTGATTATGCCTTTTATCAGTGTAACATGAAAAGAGTTACCAGTTTTTTTTATCATTTTGCTTTAGTTGTACATCTGGATTTGCTTTTCTTTTTCTTTCTGCTGTGCTGGTGATCAAACTCAGGGCATCCTGTAAACTGGACCAGCACTATCACTGAGCTCCACCTTCAGCCCAGGGATTTTTTTTTAACTCTACCAAACATTCATTGTAGAACTTAGAGAAAGTATACTAACATGTAAAGAAGAAAAAATATGCCCCATAATCTCCCCACTCAGCAACTATTAACATTTTGATTGTTTCCTTCCAGCCTTTTTTTCTGTGCATTACAAAAAATACATTTGTATTTAATTTTTTCTTTTACTATTCCAGCATAGGCATTTTTATTTTAATGAGTGTTAACAGTTGAGTGATGAAAATGTGGGTGTCTGATATTATAATGGACCATTATGACCTTCAAAAAATTTCATATTATTGAACGTAATATTATTTTTTGTGCTTTTCCAAAATTTTTTAGTTAAAAAAAAATTAATGGCTACATAACATTTCATTGTGTTACTATGTTATAAGTTCCTTAAGTCATTTGCTTACTGTTTAGTTTGTGCCCAGTTTTCTCAGTTCTACAGCTATCCAGAACATTTCTGAGTACAAATTTAACTGTTTGCAATTGTTACTTGACATAGATTCTCAGAAGTTGAATCATTGTGAGCCTGTGCATATATTGCCAAATTTTCCCAAAAGGTTTTGTTCTCAATTAGCTATGTGGATGTCTAATATGTTTGTTTTGTTTGTTTGTTTTTCTTTTCAGTGTTTTTTTTTTTTTT